TAAAACTCTGCTTTATCTTTCTCATAAATGAGGTCTTGCTCCAAATACTGAATTTTAGCTTCCAAAGCAGAATTCTCTAGCTTCTGATCTTCAAACTTTTGGAGCATCTGCGTTTTGAATTCCTCATACGTAGCTCTTTCTTTGATGAACATCGATATCAGCTCTGCTTGATTCGTTTTAAATTCATCTTTCCGCTCTAGAAGATCAGCCCGAACACATCGAAACTCGTCAGAAAATGATAATCGAGTAGATCTGCCGAAGTCTTTCAACTTCTTTGCAGCTTCACAATACTTTTCTTCCACTTCCTTATACCGACAAATTTGTTTCTCTTGTTCGTGTATTGTGTTCAGCATGAAAATGAATTGTTTCCGTAAGATCAATGGCTGGTCTTTCAATCGAGAGGAAATTTGTTCTCCAAAACCTTCTTTGATTGATTTATTGAAGGCGTCCTCCAGAAAAAGAGAGCTCAGAAGCAAATCATTTTCTGTCTGACAAGAGAATTCTCGTGACTGTGCTGAGTTTTCTGATGGAGATTGTGAAGAGGTCGATGGAATATTTGCAGAATTTTTCGAAACTTTTTGAGAATTTTTAAGAGGTCGTCCTCTTGCTTTCGGTTCCTCAACAGGAGAGACAGACTTTTGAGTTCGTGTGTTAGCCGGTCTTCCACACTCCTAGTTTCGGTTACTGCAGGAATATCAACACTTGTTGATGGACCGTCAACAGCTTTCCTTTGAGATTTCCTTCGACCCCAATTGGGTTTCTTGGCTTTTCCACCAACAAACGCATGTTTCTTTGGTTTCTTTTTAGAAGCTGGTTTCTTTTGCAGTGTTCCCCCAAGACAGAGATCTTCTTCTACTGCTTCAGCAACATCTTCAGCTGGATATTCTTTTTCTGCTTCATTTTCCTCAAGATCATCTACATCCATTTTCTCGTCAATTCCCTCATCCGGATTTTTTTCCAACAGAACTTCTTCAGAACCGTTGGAAGTGCTAGGAATCGGTTGTGTGTCAGTCTCAATATTGTTTAAAGCAGACTGTGATGATGAGTTTCTTCCAGCTCCGAAGTGAAATGCTCTTTCAGACTTTGTTAATGTCCGGCCCTCTGTAATTATCGGAATGATTGAAACAAAACGGAAATGACGGTTCTCACCTTCTGTGACATATGAAAAACATCCGCGTACTTTTTTGCAGCACATTCCAAAATAGGAGTGGCATGAATGACAAAGGTGTCTGTATATGTCCACGGGTTTACTTCCAGTCTGCAATTATTAAATTCATGTGAAGACTGATACGAGCGGAAAAAAATGATCATCGTTCTCTCTTGACCACCCAAAACAGAAATAAAAATCAATGAAATTAATGTTAAAGGAAAAGATATTCAGATTTCGCGACTACCTTGACGTTTGCATATTTTCGCTCAATAGTCGAGTGTTAGAAATGAAGAAGATGAGCTAATCAATAATTGAAGCTCTTTGTGATAACTGGCCACTTATACTCGGTATCATAGATCATCTTCAAGACTTGCTAGCTCGGTTTCATGCTAGTTTTTGAAAAAATAAATTACCTCGAGTTTTTTGTAAAATGTAAGCGATCCAGCTTTGCCACAAGTTTCACATGGTATAGGCTCTATGGAGTCATTCGAATCTTCATCGACTGCGGATGTGGATTCCTCTATGATAACCTCTTGCAAAGTCTGAAAATAAATAAAATTTTTCACTGTGTTTTATTAAAATGTAATAAAGACCCACTTCGACTTGTTCAGTACTGAATTCAGTTTCCAGCGGTGCCAAAACGGGTCCCTCTTCAGCATCATCTGTATTGTCGTCCATTACCTGAAAGTTTTTTTTGTTCGAACGGAGATATTTTCAGTCAAAAGTACAAACGAATGTATAGAGGAGTAGTTTGATAAGATCATATGCCACTCGGTTCGGGTGAACAATTAATCGACAGCTGAAGTGGGCGGAGCAACTGAACTAGTCGAAACGCAATGCGGGCGCGCAGTTTTTGCAAAACCGCCGCATGCTGTTCTGAAATGAATGTATTGTCTTGTCGCATATTTCTTTTTTAATAAATACGCTTTTTTTGCAATTTTGACACATTTTTCCTCAAACCTGCAACCAATTTTGATTTTCAGATGAATAAATCTAGTGATAAAGCAAAGCCTCGTGGTGAATACGAGCCCGACTGGGCTGATGAACCAGAAGAGGAAAAGAAGACGAGAAAAGAAACTGCTAAAATATTTGGACCGCAAAAAGACCCGGAGTGGTGGGATATTAACACTTTTAGCAAGGTTAGTTTGTTCCTCACAAAAAAAAATAGAAAAAAAAACTCAATTTCAACCGAATGATGATTTCAGGAGGACAATCCAAATGGACTCCTTCAAGAATCTTCTTTCTCGTCATTGTTTCCTAAATATCGCGAGAAATACATCAAAGAAAGCTGGCCGCTCATTGAAAAAGCTCTTGGAGAACATCACTTGAAAGCCGACCTCGATTTGCTAGAAGGAACTATGTGTGTTCGAACAACACGGAAAACCTGGGACCCTTACATTATCATGAAAGCTAGAGAAGTTCTCAAGCTTTTATCCCGTAGTGTTCCATACGAACAGGCTATCCGCGTCCTTGAGGACGAAATCTACTGTGAAATTATCAAAATCTCCTCAATGGTTCGAAACAAAGAGCGATTCGTAAAGCGGAGAGCTCGCTTGATTGGAAACGATGGTGCTACATTGAAGGCGTTGGAGCTGCTGACTCAGTGCTACGTTTGTGTTCAAGGAGGAACTGTTTGTGCAGTTGGACCACTTTCCGGACTCAAACAGATCAAGTAAGTCTATTAGCCATATCACAACACCAAAAACAACCACCATTTTTCAGCCAAATCGTCACAGATTGCATGAAGAACATTCACCCTATCTACAACATCAAATCTATGATGATTAAGAGAGAACTCGCTAAAAATGACGAGCTTAAAGATACAAACTGGGATCCATATCTTCCAAAGTACAGAAAGAAGGTGCAATCAGCATCAACTACAAAGGAAGCGAAGAAAAAGAAGGCTTATAAGATGAAACCGAAGGGAGAGTACACTCCATTCCCACCAGCACCCGTGATGAGCAAGATCGATAAGCAGATTGAAAGTGGAGAATACTTCATCAGAGAACATGAAAGAAAACTAAACAAAAAACGGTAATGGGGTTATTCAGGGTGTCGGCAAAAAAGGGGAAAAAAAAACTCCGCGAAAACTCGGAGAGTGTTCCAATCTGGCTGAAACTTTGGGTAAAACTGGAGAAAACTATAGGAAACATTTTGCCAAAGTTTGGGGTCAAAAAA